GTAAAAGCTTCTAAGGACACTCGAGGTTTTCACCTTTAAATATCTCGCATGACAAAATAAACAGGACGATACAACCGAAAACACTCACAGSCTTTGTTCGTCTTATCTGGGAGATGGCTCTTGCTCTGCAGCCAACTCCCAAAACTTTAACCGTGTTCCTGATCAAACAGAAACCCTTTTATTGCCTTGATTGTAAAYAGGCATGAAGGTGCAGTGAAGAGTCCGCATCAGAAAACAGCTTGCTTGTTTAAAAAAAAAACTTACAACTCTCCCGTTCAGAGAAAATAAATCAATTGTAGGCCCAACTCAAATAATCTAGTTTAGAGAAAGTTAATAACCAACTTCATGGCACCAGTGGATGTTAAAAAAAGAAGAGACAGCGAATCCCTTTGTTTTGAAGTAAAGAAATGAGTAACCACGGTGCATATTGGATTAGCCTTCTGAGAACTTAAATGACACAGATACTATTTTGATCCCAAGTGAGAACCTTGAAAAAGAGATGTCTCTTTCCCAGAAGGCAGAAATTCCATCCCATTAACACACTGTGGAAATGAGCTGTAAAGGTTGCATCAACAAAACAAAAAGCTATGCTGATAAACCGGACGGTACTGCACTTTCAGGACTGACAAAAAGCAGCCTCACAAAAGAATGACGTTTGTTGTATTTTTCCAACGAGCAGATGGACCAGAAACTTTGCCAACAAGATACAGTTTTACTCATCTGCCAGCTAGCAAGTTTAGTATAAAAAAAAAAGTGTTAAGCGGGAAAAAAAAAAAAGAAGTGTGAGCCCTCACCTGTCCCTCCAGCATGTCTCCTCTCAGGATACCGGGAGGCCGGTCCTCTGTGCTGTTGGTGCGCCGGATGGACAAACTGTGTGCCTTGCGCTTCTGCTTGGGGTGGCGTGCGGCCGAAGTGGAGCCGCTGCTGCTCCCGCCCTCCACAGGCATCTCTCCTACGTTGTGTGTGGGCCCCGCCCCCCTCCTCCGTTCAGAACTCACCTGATGAGCAGGTAAACACAAGGCCACACTCCGCTGGATGGCAGATGTGTGGGTTGGGTCTGTTGCTTATCACCACCTCCCTGCAGATTTAAAAAAAAGGGGAGGAGGGGGTTCACGTACAGGTTTGCAGCTACAGGAGGAACTGTGCCAACAGATGATGCACTGAATTAAAGAGTCAGCATTTCTTAAAAAGGAACACAAATCATCCACCGCTTTTCATGACAGAATTKTGGGCAAAGATCATTTYATGTTGAGAAATGACAAAATTATAAAGGTTTAATCATAACCTTGACCTTGACATGTGTCATGAATGACTTTCAGCTAATACCACATCAAATCATAGCTCAATATCTGTAAAACTGACAGAGTTATAGCCACTTTGTGTTGGTTAATGTTGATAAACTGTGAAGAACACTCTGAACTGAGCTGACTCCAAAAGTTAATCGTTTGTGCATGCACAACCAATGATTACTTTCTGAAAGTTWCATTAAAAYCCATCCAGTTTCACGTGAGATATTTTGCCAACAGACTAACTGGGTTGACTTCAACAGTGCTGGAGTTTTATATCTTTGGAACATTAGTACAGGGCATGAGAATGTCCAAAATAACAACGGTGAAGTTGTGTATAATATCTGGTCATTGTTTCATCTCATTTTAGTGTTTGTTCATGAAATGTCGCAACATAAATAAAAAAGTTCAAGTCAAAATTATAAAACTGTATCATGCCATGCTTCAAATGATTGTAAAGCTAATTTTAAAAAAATAAAGAAATGAAGAAGAAAAGCTGACATTTGCAATTTAGCCAACATCGACACCGGTGAAGTCGACGAGAAGGAAGCAACAAACAAATTGTTGCTCCGTTTATTTACGGTATTTATGATGATGATTTAGGGCTTCTGGGTTTGTCCTCTTATATCTTTCAGAGCATTTTATCAGATGGACAAAGCACATCAAAGTACAACAAATAGCAGCGACTAACGCGTGGGAACATACTACTTTTTAAARTCAAAAACGTGATAATTCAAGTAAATGCCCGCTTTGACCCCCACGTCTCGTGCCTCGTAAGGCATCATTAGCGTGTCTGAAATATGCTAAACAAGACGATTACTCACCAAAGTCACTGTTTCTCTGAATTCATTGCTGACTTTCAGACTGCTGGAAATTTACAAGCTAGCACAGCTAGCTAGCTGCCACATATATACCACCTTCATTTAGGACGCTTTTAACAGCAGCGGAGACAAAATTGGTCAAGTTGTAGCCTTTTTTAGCGTGACACTTCTATTACTTTGGAAATTTTATTTATGTATGACTTTAATATCAAGCTACAGTTTATCAAATGTATAAATAATAATAAAAAAAAGAGTACAAAATTTGACACATCACATAACAAGCACTTCCGCATCACGTGGTTTGTGTTTGGTCGTTTTTGAACCAATGGGTGGTCACGGTGCAGATTGGGCAGCGAATGAAAATGCGTGACGAGAGGAGCAGAGGACGAGAGGGGGTTCGGGTTCCGCTCAGAAACAYTGTGATAAACAAACCGCGAAAATCTGAGTTTAAAGGGCGCTGTTAGTCCAGCCGCTGTAGAGCATGTGTTTTGTAAGTATCTGTTTGTTTTATCGGTGTGTTTGTGAGCTGGAAATTTAACAGGCTTACTTATGTTCGGATGTTAGGCTGGGTGGCGCTGCGCTCTGTGGGCTGATGGCGCGTTGTGGCGACAGGAAGACCGGAAGTGGATCAAACCGGAACGGATCAGTGTTCCACAGAAATATCATTAGCACACCATTTTTAAAAATTAAATWAAAAAAAATAGAAATATCATTAGCACCTACAGTTTGACCGTGTTGTATAAAGTACCACAAAGTGATACTTGAGTAAAAGTAAAAGTATCTTACCCAAAATTACCTTGGTAAAAGTTAAAGTCTCCTTTAGGAATATTACTTGAGTAAAAGTCTTAAATTTTCTGTAATGACATTTATTAGGAGGTGACCTCCCCAAAAATGCAGAAGTTACTATGTTGTATTAAAATAATTAATGTTAATTTTAGGATGCATTAGTCCAGCTGTTTCAGTTWGTAAACRTATATCAAGGCTGCCCAAACCTTTTCTCCAAAATGAAACTCTACAATATCTGAGGTCTGCGGTCAAATGCAATCATGAAATGCAAATAGTTCTTAAGTACAATTCTTTTATTTTAATGATTATGTCCTGCTGGAGTGTGGCATGATTTGTTTGTGTACAAACTAATACGGTATCAGAGTTTTATATATTTAAACATCTCATTTAACCACAATTAAATTCACTATCTCTAGAAGGCACAAATATGGATAGTGTTTATTTTTTTACAATAAGCAGCTTGGATGAAAACAAGCAAGAATGAAATAAAAGTAACAACTTTCTACTTCTTGACTTTTAAAAAAAATGTAAGGAATAAAAAGKACAGATAATTGTGTGAAAATGTAAGCAGTATAAGTAAAAAGTAGGCTGAAAAATCAAGTACAGATACCCGAAAATTCTACTTGAATACAGTAACAAAGTATTTGTACTTCAGTGTGTGAATGTCTGTAAGTGTACAGTGCTTTGGGGTCTGGAGGGACTTGATAAAGCGCTCTGTAAGTCCAGTCCATTTACTGTTTACTTAGTTACTTTACAACTCTGCAGTTTGATCATTACAAGGGTATCCCTCTGTTTGGATCTGCTCGGAAAACTGTACAATAAGGACTTTTAGACTCAAAATCTTTTAAAGAGAAGAGTTGTCTGTCTAAAGTCTGTGGTTCCCAACGTTGGTGTTGCAACACCACTGTCAGTCATGAAACAGCAAATAAAATATCTTGGAGAAAAAAACTCATCTTTAAAATAGTTGCCAGTAGCATATTCATTTGCATGGGTCACAATGAAAACAGGCAGAGCCGGCTCTTGGCATAGGCGAACTAGGCGTCGCCTAGAGCGCCATCTGCTGGAGGGGTCACCGAACTGCATAAGAAAAATAATAATTATTTGTAATCCCTGGTTGTAGCTCTGCTCAGTGCCCCTTTCAGTTAGCATTGCCTTAAAAATTATAACGAAGTATTACAGGAAAAATGAACTACTCTACCCATAAAACATTTTGAA